ACACGTGCAAACAGAAACTGACCGCTGATGGTTCTCCCTTTCAAGAGTTTCTTGGAACTTTTTAGAACTTAGAATTTCTTAGAACTTCTAAGATTTCTGGAATGTATCAGTAGCATTTTACCACGAAACGAATGAACGAACCGCAGAGTGGCTGGCTATCGTTTTGGCAAAGTTGGACTCTTGTCCCTGCGGTGGAAATGCTCAGTCTGAAAAGTGACGCTGTTAGTTATAATTTCGAGTTCGAGAAATTGCTGCCATGGTCGCTGCATCATCTAGCAATCGGCCTGCTGGTGGTCCTGATTTTCAAGGCATCAGATTAGCCCTAAAAAGACTGGCAAATGTACTAAATCAAAAATCGATATGAACAAAATAATAAAATAGGTAATTTGTGCGAAGAATTTTGTAGTGGTGACGTAGCGGCGAATAAAAGTGTTATTTATAGCGAATCATCTGAAAAGCGAAAAAAACTTCAAATTTGCTCGAAAAAATTTTAATATCTAGGACGATTGATTTATTGGAAAACTGATATGCTAATGCACGTAAATTTATAAAAACACGCTTATCTCTCTCGGAGATCTAAAAATGCTTTTTTTTTTGCGAAAAATTCTTGTTCACAATCGCAATATCTAAAAAACGCGAAAGGAGATAAAACAGTTTTAGGATTCTTTTGGAGGATGTCGGCAGGCGAACGGCATAAAGAACTTAATTTGGCGCAGCTATTCTCGGACGTATCACGAACGCTCAGTGGCTTCAGAAGATTGTTAATTCCGGTGCCGGAGGCAGCCAGAGCGACTGCACAAAATGATGCGTCTCCCTTATCGGATCTGGGGAGCAGTATTTTTTCTGATAATGTATGCATTAAGCCATGCGGTATGGAAGATATCCAGATAGCTGCACAGGTTCGTAGAAACAGACAAAGATATTTTAAAAAAAGTTCAAAAAGAAATGATAATAAAGAAATCTCGAAATTATTTTTTGGCTCAGGAACCTCATAAAATTGTTTGCCATATCAGCCATATCATGCTTGCATGTTTGTCTGTATCTTTGTGGACATCGCGCACTAGTGAGTGGTATCCATAAGAGAATGAGTGACCGCCATGGCATTCCGCGAACATGCATCGCGCTATATCGAACAAGCAAGCGATGGGTTCTAATTTGAGGAATAGTACAAAATCGAAGCCGTGCTCTAGTAAAATTTATAATATTAAAATGGGAACATACGCAAATGAATTCTGTATGAATGCGAAGTGGAAGCGTGCTGCGAACGTGAGATGTAATACACGACAATAACCTAAAGGGGTATGTTGGACCGTAGTTGAGCAGGCAGCGTGTTATTTTCACGGACGTTTGTTTGGTAATGAATCAGCTGCTAGTACAGCCAAGTTTGATGCGTGTGTGTAGCCAAGTGCGGCCAGAGACCAGGAACCAAGGGCTGAGATAATTCTTTTTTTCGCAAATGCCTTTTAGACTCTGCGTTTGAAAGTAGTCCCTGTAAAAGAAAATCTTCAAATTCCTTGAAAGCATTCTCTATTAAAATCGTAAAGTCGCCCTTGTTTCTTATAAAAACCTCAAATCCCTCAGAGATGTTTCCCTGAAAATCCCCGCCTGTGCCGCTGC